AAAAACAAAAAAAAAAAAAAAAAAAAAAATCATTTAATAACTTAACGCATCCGATCAACTTAAATAGGGTTCAAGTAACTTTGTTGTATTTCTTTCTCTTTTTTTTTTTTTTTTTTTTTTTTTTTGGTTACATTTCCTTAGTGGTGAAGATGAAGCTCTCTATGACACGTTATAATAACTTTGCTGTGTGTGATAATGTATGTTTTCCATTTCCAAACGATATTAAAATGGCAAAAATCATAATCATTCCTATTATAGTTAGCTGCCATAAATACATCTTCTTCTGGTAGAATATACAAATATTTCATTTTCCTTTTCACAATTTGTATTCGGATAAATCGCTTGAATCGAAATTCAACTACTGACTGTATAGGATAATCGAATTTTCCTCTTTATTACCGATGCTGATAAATCCTAGCGTTAATGATCTCAAAAAAGTTGCTCATAATAGGGAGAAAAGTTAAATTCTTCCCCAGGTCGAAGACTTGGCAGTCGTTACTTTAAAAATAACTGGACAATCGCTGGCGTTTGTACATTGATCATTTAGATGGACATAATAAGTATTGTTATCGATTCTGAGATCTAAGTAGTAGTGTTTGGCTTACGAAAGTCACAGTCGCCAGGTTAGGAAACTATGAGTCCTACTCTAGATCAATATTTTTCCATAGATGATTATTTACAGGCTTATATACGCCGAGCATGCCTGGGGGTCGATTTATAGCTCTCGATACCGAGTAATTTCGGCGGCAATTTTATCTTTAAAAGATTTTTTCATTTAATAATAAGAGAAATAACAATTTAATCGGTAGCTATAAATTTCCTACCCGTTACAGTGAGTCCATAATTCATAGCTATAGTATTTATCGATATATCGATTCAGCTTTCTATTGCAAAATCAACGATCTTTAGCTTGCTAAGAAGAGACTGAATGACTGACTGAAAGAAAACCTTACGTCAAGCAAGACTTTACCTACAATATCGTGGCCTATTTTGGGTAAAGACAAACCGAATATATTTCCATCCTTCTTCATACTTCCCTAACAATTACAAATTAATCAACGAAAAAAAACGAAAAGCATAGACAAACCATCGTCATCGTCTTCGTTCTTCTTCTTGGCCTATGAAAGAATTAACTTTTAAGTTTCGTTTGGTGCGTTAAGTGGTAAAAAAAAGAAGCAAAAAATCCACAAAATTGTTTTATATGTATTTATGTACGTACGCATATTTTAACGCCTATTTAAGTAGAAACGTACATACACATGTATGCATTACTGATTGCTAGTTACTGAGTGCTAGTTTAATGTCTTAATTCTTAATGTTGTGATTTTAATTATAATCTATATACATATATATATACATACATATATATATATATATATATATATATATATATAAATCTTTATGTATAACTTATATGCTTAGATTGCGCATAAGTATATGATGATCAATCCTATACTATACTATACATATACACATACCTTACATATATATATGCATATATATACATATATACATATATACATATATACATGCGTTGTACAAAATTATATGTTATGTTATGTACATATGTTCAACATATGTACAAAATGTATCAAATATCAAAGTTTACGAGTGCATATATATATGTATACAGATATATATATATATTGTCCACTCAACTCTTAACAAATAAAATCTTGACATATTCAATTAGACATATACATAACAACAAACATATACAAACAAAATGTAAGCAGCCATAAAAAGATTGTTATTACTATTATCATTATTATTATTATGTATTTATATATATTCATAATATTTCTCCCTCATCATCTTATTTTTATACAACTAAAACAAAAACAATGAATATGTAAAAATATTTTACTTAGTCTTTTCTTTTTTTTTTCGCTGATCGATCCTCTCTTAAAACTTCGGATTGTTATTCTATCTTTACAGATGTAAATGTATTCATTGTCTTTGAAAAAAACTTTATCGCGTATTTATATATGTTTTATAAGTGCGTGTGATTTAAACGTTCGTTAATTGCGTTTTATATGTGTTTTCGCATAATATGCATAAATAACATCTATAAACGTAAATAAAAAGTGAGTTGTGTGTGTGTGTACGTGTGTTCGTGTTTTTGTGTGTGTGTGTTATTTCTATAAGGAACGTAATAAAATTTGAGCATTATTATGATTGTACTGAATAAAATTATATATATATATAATATATATTTTTATATATATATATATATATATATTTATATATATATGTATATATATAATATCAACTCGCTATTCTATTATGTAGTATATCAGAGGATTTTTAATTATAAAATAAAAACCATACACATACATATATAATAATATTATTAATATTAAATTAATAAATTATATACATATATAATATAAAGAAAGACTTGATAAAACTTTTAAAACGCAATATGAAAAATTTCAGTCTTTTTGAGTTTCCTCTCCTCTCCCACTTAATTCACGGCAATATTCGACTTAGATGTGCAAGCGGCGTAAGTGGCGTAAATGGAATGTTTCGTACAAGTGACCGTGAGTGACGATCAGACCGGAAGAAGATAGGCAGTTGGACGCAGCCTATTACTTGTTTTGTTCTCGATCAATAAGTGCTACGCTTTTATCAACTGAGTACTCACTTTAGCTAAAAAAACTAAAAATATATTACGACATAGTTTAACATCTTTGCATCTAAGATGATAGTTAAATCACGATTTCATCTTAATAGAAATGAAGCAAGCGAGAAAGATATATTCACCTGTGAAGGTGTCTATGACAGCTTCCGCTTCGAGTCGACACGTAAAATTTACAAAATATTTTATTAATTACGGGCTTGTCAGTTCGTCAATCTAATCCTGGAAAGGCATCGCGAACCATTTCTGAGCGTCTCAACTTTTCGTTCAATACCTCTTATAAGACAAAGGCTATATTAATGCTTTATACCACTTGAGAGTATATTAAGTTTGTTGTATGGATGTATGAAACACCAAGAAGGATTTGAGATGGGCGCCTCTTTTATTATATTGATCGATTCAGAATCATTTTTAGGATCGGCCTAAACTTATCTGTTCAGGTATTTTTTTGTTGAACCCAGAGATCGGAATCGTTAAGATATTTTAAAGAAATTTGATTCAAGAACGAAAGGGTTAAGTCGGATCATTTTCTCATCATTTCCCATATAACAACCTACTTTAAGAAGTTCTACATTAAGTGAAGTGATGTAGTGTACTACGTCAAACTGGTGGACAGTTTGATGACTATAATGTTTTCGCTCGTTTTTCTATTGTAAGTGTGTTTAAGTAAAGTATTTTTTGATTGTGGCGTGTGGCGTGCGGTGTGACCATTTGTCATTAAGGCATTAAGGCAAGGCAGAGATCTCAGATGATCATATTTCTGCCTTCTCTTATATCATCATCTTATTGCTTCAAAGTTTAGACTAAACGATGTCTTCTCCTTTTTTTAGGCGGATCACGTTAATAGGCAAAGTTAATATGTCTAGTGTTGCATCTTCCTTTGCTAACTTCTGCGAGCACCGACATTTGCATTCGATTTGAAAATGGCAAATAAACGAGCAAGTGGACAATTAGACTGTCCACTCACTAAATTCGATCAGCATGTCAAACGGTTGCACAATTTACATATATACTTTATTAGGCCATGCCAATTATGAGTCGAATTTCAGGACGTGGTAAAAATGAAGTCCAAATTTAGCACATTTCATGATTCGGTTGTGTATTTAAAAAAGTCACCTGATCAGTGAATATATTGTATTCACATATATATATATATATATATGCGAATGTTGTCAGAGAGGCAAAGCTTGTCTTATCCCTACGAACTATTTATTCCCTACGCAATTCTATTCGAGGAAAACAAAGGCTTCATTAGCAATTTTTGGAAAAATTTCCTATTATTTTTGAGCGTAAGTACAAACACACAAATATTTATTTTTGCTTTCTGGTTTATTTTCAAAAAAATTTATCAAGATTGTGTAAACATAGAAAAATCTTTAAATAAAAATCATAAGCACCCATGTTCCTATATTCAATATTAATAATATTTGGGAAATTGATTATAGATTAAATAATAATAAAAAAACAATATGTATATATATAGTGTGTATATATACATATAGTGCGTATATGCATATAGTATACATATATATAGTGTGTGTATAGTATATACAAAAAAATGTATATATATATATATATATATATACTGTATATACTCAAGGAACAAAATATTGTCCTTATTTATCGAATACACCGGTTAATAATGTGTTTTTGCCCAATCAGCGTAACTAAATAAAAAAAAAATAAACTTCAAATATCTCTCACAGAACTAATCAAAATTAAGTCGATCGCCAGTTAACTATATAAACCAATTTTTTACATTAATTTGGATTTTCACTATATAGAAATTTCATGTACGATAAAGGAATACATGTACGTGGCTGGGAAGACTGGGAAATATGGCGGAGAAAAATGTATTTCCTTTTCTCAACAGTTGCTAATTGGTATCAATTCATTAAATACGGACGAATCGGCAGCGATCATATAATAGACTTCATCAATTGCACTGAAACCAATCAAAATATCAATCCAGCGATCTTTCTTAAGAGGGAAAAGTTGCATCAATAATCGGTTAATCTAACATAAAAGGACAATAAATATTTTTTACGGGCATATCATGGCATTTTAAAACAAAAAGTATAGTTTCATCATGACTAACGTATTGTCAAAATTTGATGAGGCAAACCTTTCACAATAATGGCACGTTCTCTTAAACCTAAATCACCGCCTATACCACCAGGTGGTAAAAGGAAATCACAATCTAAGTAACGGTTGGGTTGGGCGAATTCCATTAAATTGGAATTGCTATCACTTAAGGCCTGCAGAGACCAAACGGCAAGATTTTTACTTTTACCATGACGAGCTAAAACGTAGAACTGAAAGGAAAATTAAAATTAAAAAATTTAATTATTCGATATTAGGACGTAAGATTTTTAATTATATACCTCATCATTATCGTTGATCAGATAACCAATTATTAAAGCCCAATGAGATTTATGGCCAAATTTCAAGCATGGCGAATGATTAAAGTCGGTATCGTAACTATAAAAAGATATTTAACTTAAAGAGTTAAGGAAAATGTTTTATTTTAAAAAGGAAAATTACTAAATAAATAAAATAAGAAATTATTTTCCTGTGTGTGTAAGATTAATAACCAACGGTATTCCGCTTAGTAAAGTTAAATATCCATAATTCCCCTCAATTCAGTCTCAATCTCAATAATACGGAAAAAAACTCAAATTATGGGGAATTTTTAATTTTAAATATCCATAATTCCCCTCAATTCAGTCTCAATCTGAATAATACGGAAAAAAAAAACTCAAATTATGGGGAATTTTTAATGGGTCGTACATAAGAGCGTATATGTGTGAAGGCTTTCAAAGACTACATCTTTAGTTTTGTTCAAAAAAATTTTAATTCACTTTATTTAAATTACATCTATAAAACTATATTTATCCGACTCGCATGGGTGGCGACACTAAGATGACACCATCGCCTCGCACAAATAGCATAGGTATCGTGCGTTTCGTTGTCTTGTAAACTTCTTCATAAGTTTCTTCATCGATTTCGACGGTGGTAACGGTTTCCTCAGCATCACCCAGAACCATATTCAAATGTTGATCAAAAGCCTAAACAAAAATGAAAGTAATTAACAATTTCCTTTTTTCTTCTCTTTCATTATTGTTAGCGAGACGTTCTCTTATTTAGCAAAGATTTAAATAATAATTGCTTATATTTATAAAAATTTATATTTTGACTTACATGCAATCTTCCTCTTAATTCTCTTTCGTTGCGCATTTTAACATAAACTTTTTCATCCAAACTCAGCCTGATTAAGTCTAGGGGCTCTTTAACCGACAAAACAACTTGCGCCTAAATAAAAGCAAATGCATGGAGCAAAAAATTATATCTTGTATTTTCTTATTGTTAACACTTACTTGCTCTTCTTCAGCCGCCATTTCTTATTCATGTATTGATGTCAAATATTTATTTTTTTAAATAAATTAAATAGCACTACAAAATTTCTATAGTTAATTTCATTTGTTTGCTTGTTTAACGTAACCTCAAATGAATGTTTATTAATTTTCAAAAAACTTGGTTGCACTTTAAAAACATATGTTTTTCTCAAGCGTTCATATTCTAAAATTATTTCTTCACAAAAGAATTTTTTTTTTCGGTTTGCACAAAACGAGCAGACACTGAAACATGTGTTGCAATATTTATATTCACAATTTAATACCACGAGAATAAAAAGGTAAAAATCTATCCACATATATATATATATATATATATAAATTTCATTTAGTAAGATAAGAAAATTTGATGGCATATAAAAAAAATCGTAATTTTGAAAAGGTTACGGTACAAAAATGCAGGCACCCTGGCAAATGGTCTCCTTAACCTTGGCACAGTTTAAACGACCTTCATGCATCTCGCATTCGATCTTACAATTGCGATCACTGCAATTGTATTTAGCTTTTATATTATTGGCATTCGTCACCGCGTTGCAAAAGGGCAAATTATCGCAAATCAATTGAAACAAATTGCGTGCACTGAACATTTCACCGTTGTTAGTAAATTGTTTTCGTTGAGCGTCTTCTAATAGTTCCGCGATCGTAGGCGATCCATTCAATAACATACTTAAAGCAGTTATTCCACAAGTTGGCCCTGATTGCAAGATACTGAGCACATTACAAAAACGACAATGAAGCGGCGGTTTTACTTGGCATATACGTGCTAAAAAACAGGCCTTTTGCAATTCCGGATAATCAAGAGCCCATAAACACTCTTCAATACGTGATTTAATGCATGTATCTGAACTTTTTAAACTAATCTCACTTTGAAAAGTATTCATTAATGACGGCGCAGACAAAGAGTGCGACATGTGTTTGTTATTTTACTTGGACTCGTGTTATGCAATTAATTTCTTTATCACAGTTACTTTATTAGATATAGATTTTATTTTGTTCTTTTTATTTATAAATTATACAGGTGTGTTTCGCTTTTTTTTTTATAAATAATTTCCTCCACTTCCTTTAGCCTTTGTTTTTCGTGTGCTTGCATTGTGATTACACATTCGCTTCGTTGGTATCTTCTTTTTTTTAGTTCGTTTATTTTCTCAATTGTTTTATGGAAACTATTCGCTACCCACACACGATTTGCGACAAAAATAAAAATAAATAAAACACTTTTGTTAGGTAGGGTGATGTTTTTCAAAGCAGCTGATTTTTGTTTTCTCAGAACTTTTTTTTTTTTTTGGTTATACTTTTTTTAATTGTTTACGTATTGTAAAAAGTTGGAAATACTTTTTTCTCAATTTATCAGAAAAGAACTTTAAAACAGCTTTTCTATTAGTCTTTTTGATTATGTTAAAAATGTGCACAAAAAAAGCTTTACAGATAAAATTAATTTTCTCTCGCTGATTGTATGAGTTGTGCCACCAGAATAGAGATGGCGTTAATTATATAAAGAATAAAGCACTAAGCGTAATGAATGCATAAATTTTGTCAAATTTATTTTTAAAATATTATTATTATTATTAATTTCGCCAGAGAAATAAATTCTAAGACTGAACTCTTAAAAGCTCTTAAAAGCTCTAAGGTTATCGGCTTTTTTTTTTTTTTTAAATAATTTTTTCTTCAGCAATGGCTTGCTTAAAATTGACCCATCTTTTATTATACCGATCGATTCAGAATCATAATCGGAAAAAGACTTAATTTTTAATATTTCATGACGAAAATTAATTCATAGGAGCGTTTCAGGTAAAAAATTAACGGTACGAAATTTGGATAATATGGGTCTATCTGTTTTGAACCCCAACATATATAGGCGCTATCACGAAACGCAAAACCTTGTATGCAGAGAAAATCTAGCCTTCCAATGTGCGGACTTTCTTGAAAATAATGTGTACCTTTTGGTGTATTATTGCCAAAACGAGCGAATGACTGCACACGGCAAAATGATGTAGGATATGCAATGGCCGGCGCTGCCCGACTATAAAGTTCTTGCTTACTGTTTCACATAGATCAAGACAACATTTTCGAAAATTTATTTTTTAGCCGTCTTCAAGCAAGACGAGGTTCCTTTGTTACTAAGTTTGGTTTGTGATTAACGTTATCATCCTATGGTTAAGAGTAATTGCTTTGACAATTTTTCTTAACACATGAAAGTATTAGATCGAAATGCAACTATGACTTGTCTTGTTTTTCCGTTTCCGCGAATGGCTTCAGATTACTATTCGTAGAGGAGATAAGACGTAAAGATGTGTATATAGTTTGTTTCGAATATTGTGTATTTGAATCCGCAGCGAATCCATTATAATATGGTATCTTGGTAAAACGCGACGGAAAATAAAGAACCCGTGAACTAACCGTTTTTCGAACAGTCTAATAAATTAAGTAAATATCCCATGAGTCGATGAATAAAATCATTAGACAAATCAATTTTTGTTGAGAGAATACCAATGAAAGTTCCTTTCACGATGAGAATATTAACAAAAGCCTCCCTTTTCGATGGTAGTGTGAAAAAAGATTCGTTTTTGCAGTGATTATCGGCAAAAGTTGAATTTTATTTTTTGTTTTTTAATAGCGAAAAAGGATAAGTAGATAAGGAAAAAATTTGTTTTTTCATTTCATCGATATTGGCAAGAACGCGTCCGTGAATGGTCGCTGAAGTCTCTTAATTCCGAATTTTGAGATCTTATGTAAAAATGTAAACTTTTGCGTATATATTTTTGGATGGCGCATAAGTACGTGAAAACCATTTATTTACTACATATCTAAATATTTTAGATGCATATATATAGAGATATATATGTATATATATACGATATATACGATGTATAACTTGTAGTTAGTTGTACAATATTGTACATATGTTGTACACAGAGTCTATCAAATTTTACGAGCGCATGCTGCTGCTGACCACCACCACCCAAATTAGGAAATAAATCCTTGCTTGTAAGACAAAATAGACCGGAATACTAACTTACATACAACATATCGTAAGTTTTGAGTTTTGCATAGTTAGCACGTGCTAGCCACTAAATCGGAAACGTAAACAACAGCAAACAACGAGTAAACATTTGCTGAACTGTTTTTCTCTTTATTTTTTTTATTTTTTTGTTTTGTTTTTGGCATAGTAGTGTATACATAGTTTTTATTGCACAGTTACGCGCAAGTTGTTTATTTAAATTTTAAAAATAAACCCTTTATATATAGAGAGAGAAAGAGAGGGATAGAGGCAGAGAGAGAGAGTGAGAGAGAAAGAGAAAGAGAGAGAGAGAGAGAACGAGAGGGAGGAATAGAATAAGTCTTTATCGAGTGTTCATATGTAAATATAAGTGTGCATATGTGTGCATGTATTTAAACATCATCGCTATTGCTTAAGTTGTTTCCATTTCTACTACAAATAAACATTTTTTTTTTTTTTTTTAATCCTATTATTAACAGTTAACGAACTAAAGTTCCCGAAATATTTGTCAGGTTGTGCTAGTTGAAATAGTCTTATATAAATATATTTTCTCGTTTTGTATTTGTTTTTGCAAATACATGAATATTTCCTTTAAAAAATCCAATAAGAAATTTTAGTAAATTATACTTGAAACGTTAATAAGATATAGTTATGTATATGTAATATAAACTCTCACTTTTTTTTTCATAATTACATCAATTATTCTTATAAGCACTCTTTAGTGATACCTTCAACTGATGGTTGATGCCTATAGAGGAATCCGCTGTGGATATTCAGGTTTATTGCCGATATTAATAGTTCACCTAACCCGTATCATGATTATTTGGACTATGTGTGGATTTATCAACACTATCCTTCGTCTCAAGCAGGAAATGACGGGAGCTACAGCCGTTCAATAATAACTAACCTTTAACCTTTAAGCAACGAAGAGTCCTAAACCACTGAGGGTGAACCTTTGAGGGTGAACCTTTGAGGCGAAGATGAATCTCCATCTTGAATCAGCAAGTAAGAGTAGTAGTTAGGCAGGCGTGACCTTTAGATACCTCATGCAAACGCATAAATTTCAACATAGCCTGCATATTAGAGTGTTCTCAAAATATCATAGGGCGTGATCCCAATGCAGCAAACTTAATTTATTTTTAAAGAAATGTTATTATTTCTTTCACTTTCCACAATCCGACCATTAAATCATTCATCATTAAATATTAAAAATTAAACCTTTTTCTGAAAGGCTTACTACTATCCATAAGAAACCGTTCATGGAGTAGGATGCAAGAAACAGATCCATGTGTGTTCCAAACATTTGATTTTAATGTCAAATCCATCCAACTGTGAACAAATTTTCCCCAATAAAATATTAACAATTAAGCTTTTTTGTGATTTACACTGCCTGAGAGTCTTTATATGCGACAGTATCTAAAAAATAGACATATGTGGTACGCTTTTGGTAAGGTTAATTTCTATATCAATTCGTTTTTATAAAGTAATTTCTAAGATTCAGTTTTTCTAGGAATGATTATATGAGGAGGAGTTCAAAAAATTGACCTAGGCAATCCAATGCTGACTAGATAGCGAGTTTTGAAAATAGGACGTTATATAGAGAGTGGTGGAAACACGTGACACATTGCGACTTTGTTGGTTGCGTAAAAAAATACACGGACAGACGGACATACATCCTTAGGTAGATATAATGATAATAATAAAAGATGGGTCCTTCTGGCGCGCACAACGCTATGTGAGATATAAAAATTTCAAAATATCATGTTAGGTGTAAATGCTAATTACTTAGCTAACTACTTGGCACATTTCTTGGCACTGGATTTTTGACTGATTATAAGCAATATATAGATCACTATAACTTATAGGTTGTAAATTATATTACTTTATGTATTATATAATTAAATATTCGGTGCTCATATCGTAATTGCTTTTATCGAGAATACTTACGCTCCTAAACTAAATAAATGACAATTCAAGAGAAGTCGAAAATTTACTTTTGAAGTTAATTTCAAAATATTTTCATA